TCTGTGGAGGCCCGCATTCCCGCCACTACGTGACGCTAAGTCCTCCTGGGGTTTGCCGCTCTCCGGTCCTCTTTCATCCCGTTCTCCCCTCTTTTTTGGGGATTCTTTGTACTTCGTCTTTCTTGTTTTTCTTGTTCCTTTGTTTTTTGTAGGACAGATTTTTGGTGTACTGATTTCGGTCGTTGTTGTGTCTGACTCTATTCCCAATATCTAATTCTGTGGTTGGTTTTCCAACTCATTGGGTTTTGTAGTTTCCATCATGAGTTTGATTCCATCGTGAGTTTGATTCCATCGTGAGTTTTGATTCTATTTGCTATTTTTCGTTCCATTTTTGAGCTCATATTTTATTTTCCTGATTTCTTCTCCAGTGTATGTTGTATTGCATTTTAATACATTGTGTTAATTTTTGCCCGTAAAAGAGGCTTGCACTTAAAAAAAAAAAAAATAATAATAATAATAATAATAATAATTAGGAGTATAATCGATGCAGACATGGCCAGACAACAACGAGTTCATGGAATTTTTAAGGATTTTTATGTTATTCAAAATCGATTTTCGTGTTCCGCTCATCAGTGAATAGTATCGGAACTGAGGGTACTGTGTACAACAATAGAACATTTTATAACAGCATAATTAATTAAAAGTGTGAACAACAAAGGAAGTGCTACAGCATTACATAATAGGTGTCAAACATAGTGCTAACGTACATAACTGAGTGCAGCCACAAAGCAAGAGGTGATACAGTGCAACATGACACAACATTTACATCTGATAACCAGCTAATTATGCTGTTATAAAATGTTCTATTGTTGTACACAGTACCCTCAGTTCCGATACTATTCACTGATGAGCGGAACACGAAAATCGATTTTGAATAACATAAAAATCCTTAAAAATTCCATGAACTCGTTGTTGTCTGGCCATGTCTGCATCGATTATACTCCTAATTGCACTAATAAAATTGCTTTCTCCACGCCGACTCTTTAAATAATAATAATAATAACCCAAGCACCAGCTCAAAACAAAAAGGGAAATGAAGAAAGGTCTGGCTGCAAGTACTGTGGTCGAATGCATGCCAATGGAAAGCAGTCCTGCCCAGCAGCACGTGTCCGTTGCAACAGCTGCAGGAAAGTTGGGCCTAACAAAGCCAATGCAGTAGATGCGGAGGAAGACAGTGACACTGCACAAGTGGTGTATGATTCCATTTTCGCGTGCAGCGATAAGACAGCTAGCCAGAGCCCAGAGGCCAGTTCACCATGACACTGATGGTGAATGGCAAGGCATGTGAGGGATTGATTGACACCGGAGCAACACGCACCATTCTCACGGATGATGTGCAGCCTACCCGCTCAAGTGACCGCATACTTCGAGCATACAACGGTGGCGAAGTGAAGACTCTTGGCATGGCGGACGTCGATAATGCTGTAGGAGACAACACCATTCTCTGTGAATGTTTCGTTGTACCGGCTGGCAAGCGTTCAGTATTGTTTGGAAAAGATGTCATCTCACAATTGGAACTGCTGGTGAATGCACACATGGCGGATACAGCACGTCTTGTTGAAACTGCTCCAGTTACTATCACTGTGGACAAGAGCGCTAGACCAGTAGCCCAGCCAGCTCGTCGCCCTCAATTTAGCGCCAAAGCCGACACAGAGAAGGAGTTGGCACGTCTGGCTAAGGCTGACATCATCGAGCCCGTGAAGGAGGCATCGCCTTGGGTCTCGCCCGTTGTGCCTGTCCGTAAGTCTAACAGTACACTCCGGTTATGTGTGGATTATAGACAGCTGAATAAGTCCATCATTAGAGAACGCCAATCTCTCCCGACGGTGGACGAAATAACCAGCGAGTTAGCAGGAGCACAAGTATTCTCAGTGCTGGATGCCGAATCGGGATTCCACCAGCTGTTACTGGAGGAAGAATCACGATCATTTACAACATTTTCCGCACACTGTGGATCGTATCGATTCAAGAGACTGCCGTTTGGTATTTCATGCGCCCCGAAATCTTTCAGCAAGTGATGTCAGATATTCTAGTTGGCCTGCCGGTGTGTTGTTGTCTACATAGATGACATAATATTGATTTTCGGAAGGAATCAAGTTGAGCATGATGCTTGCATCATGCTCGTACCGACAGCAATCGGCTCCGATGCCTCACCCTCTGGTCTGGGAGCTATTCTGTGGCAGCAGAGCAAGTCTGGACAATGGCTGCCGATTACATGCGCCAGGCGCATGCTCACGGACAAGGAGTCACGATATTCGCAGACGGAGCGTGAGATGCTCGGCATAGTGTTTGCACTGATCCGTTTTCGCCAGTATGTTCTGGGTCGTCATGTACAAGTATACACTGATCATAAACCTCTCATACGGATTGTGCAGAAGGCACTTGACGATGTGCCGCCTCGATTGCAGCGCTGGTTAGTCGCGCTCAGGCCGTATGATTACTCCCTCAAGCATGTTCCAGTGAAGGAGCTCTTCTGTACTGATGCACTTTTCAGAGCCCCGGCAGCGTCTACAGTACTCATGCTTCTCCAGCTGAATCGCGTTCCCTCCATGAGTACGTTGGCCTAGTTCTGGCAGCCGCTCCAGTAGGCATTGCAGACATTAGTTGCGCTGCACAAGATGGTCCAGTAGTAAGCAAAGTGATTCAACGCACACTGTATGGTTCGTGGCGTGACATTTTGCCACCGGAACACCCCTACTATCTCGTCCGTGATCAGCTGACATCTTAATGTTCGGTGGCAGGTTCGTTATTCCTGAAGGTTTACGAACAGCGATCATGACCCTAGCACACGAAAGACATCCTGGACAAAAGGCCTTCCAAGACACCCTGCACCAGAGAGTCTGGTGGCCAGCAATGACTAAAGATGAAAGCACATACAAGTACGTGGAACGCTGCTCTGAATGCTGGAGGAGACGTACCAATAGTCCGCAAGAGCTTCAACCAACTGAGGTAGTTGGCGTCAGGAGAAAGTTGGCAGTAGACATTGCATCCATTGAGGGGCACTCGATTCTCTCCATAGTCCATTATGGCTCCAGGTACCCTATTCTGAAGACATGGCGCTCGACAACCTCAGCTTCCGTCATCAATGAACTTGATGAGGTATTCTCCGCATTTGGTCTTCCCGAGACTTTAGTTTCGGACAACGGCCCTCAGTTTGTCTCTGGTGAGATGTCCTCATTTCTCAGCCGTCTTACAATTGCACATGTACGATCTAGCCCAAGACATGCCCGCGTCTGCATTGAGTGTTATGGGAGAGACTCTCTGGTCTTAATCCACATCTTAACCAACTGTTGTTTGACATTCGATGTTCGAGGCATAGAATGCTCGGTACATCACCAAGTGAAGCTTTGTTCTCTCGACCACTGCGTACAAGAGTCCCGGCACAACTCCACCCCACCGTTGTGAATCCCCAGCACCAGCTGAAAGCAAAAGCTGAAATGTCTGCACAACACGACTCCCGACGTAGCGTGAGAATGCTTTCTGAGCTTCGGCCCGGCACAAAAGTCACTATGCAGGACGGGTACTGCGACAAGTCTCAGTCATGGACCGTGGTGAACCAGTTCGGCCGTCAGGTAGGAGTGACCGATGTCTCTCGTTTCCTACTAAGGAATAGGCAGCATGTACGAGAGTTAGTTTCACCGCACCGCCCGGACGATTCTCCACCCATGCTGTCAGCAAACCCGTCTTTCAGCCGTCATGAGGTGGATCTTCAGCGAGCGCCAGCACAGGCGGCTCCTCGGATCGGTCAGCCTTCAGTGCCAGAACCACATAGAACCGGAAATGGACAGTCTGCTCGGATTGGTCAGTCTACAGCGCCAGCGTTTCGGCCTGTCTACTGTCTGTAGATCTGCCTCCGAGCTCGCCATGCCACAACATGCCACTCTCTCAACTTCCATCTGCACGTGACAACCAGCCTGCTCCGAAGGAACACACTCCAGCCGCCTCCGGCAAGCGCTCATTCGTCGATGGTGCAGTCACTCGCTCGGGCTGACATATCAAATTTACTGAGAAGGCACGGCTCTACGTAACGCAGACAGTTTATCCTAAAAGATTATTGCAACAATGTATTATACTCACTCTGGTGGTTCAACTTGACAACTTTTTTGTATGGTTTGAAGTTGAGTTCCAAACTTCCTCAATTAGGTGCTTTGAAATTGGGGTTATCCATTTCAAAAGACATATTGTGTTCTTTTTTCTAAATTCCTTCTGTTTCTTTCCCCGGCACCGGCTTTTTCGTTTGGGGGAAGGAGTGATGTAGTGATAGCGACTGCGTTGTTCTTACACCACCTAGCTGTCGTATGTTGCATTCTACACATCACTGCATGTGTCGTACTCACACCTTCATGATGTGCTGCATTCACAGTGCTGTATGTGATAGTCTCTTGTCAGTACAGTAATCATTACATTCTGGTCAGCTCACTACAATAAGCACGAGCTGAAAGTCTCAGCTATGAAGGACCGTTGGCGGATGTTCATGTATGTCGATGACGATACTGGCAAGACCATTGGACAACCTTCCCCTCCTTATGCTATTTCGATAACTTAGAACCTTCCAAGGTGGAAGGCTGTTGGAGTGCGCATCCAAGATGTGCTAGAGCTGTTAGCCAGTTAAATGTAGAACGTCAGTACCGTTGATCAGTGTCGTGCAATGTTATCACATGAGCTGATTATTTTAGTATCTAGTGGTGTTACTGGACAGTATAGCGTAACTTGTTGTTCCTTGGTCCTTTTTCTTTTGTATAAATTAAAAATCCTTGGCTCTCCATCCGAGTCCATTGGTAAAAATATCAATAATTAAAAAATAAAAATATCAATTATTATTTCAGGTCACATGCGATCGAGTCCACCAACTAACCCAGATTTTGAACGGTCAGACGTGCACAATCTCCTTGTCAGTTTTGTGCTAGATTTTGCACGTCTGACTGTTCAAAATCTGGTTTAGTTGGTGGACTCGGTCACATAATTTTTGCCCATAATTAATTCCATGTTACAACTTTTTTCCTTGGCTCATCATCTGAGTTCTATATTTGAGGATGAAATTAAAAGAAGGGAAAAGTCTGGAGAAATTGATGAAGATGGTTCACTTACTTGATTATAACTTGAAATGCCAAATGCCGTATGTTTGCACTCAGTAACAATATTAATGTCATTGAAAAAACAAAAGGGTGTTGATCAAGCTCCGCCACCCTTGCGACGGCACATTCTATCAAGTTCAAAATGCTTAAAATATTCATCATTCGAGAGAAGAAGAATAGAATAACGTATAGTTTGCATAGACAGGAGCAGCGCTGACGTATGTCAACAAGACAAGCCAGGCCAGAGGAGTGGGTAGGGGGGGGGGGGGGGGGGGGGAGGGAGCGGAAAGCGAAATAATTATTTGGAAATGATTCTGTTGCGTCAGCTTTTGTTGGCCGGGTTCGTTCTGTTGAGGATTGCTGGTACCAGCTGAGCGGGCTCAACATGCACTGTGAGCGGGCTCAACATGCGCTGTGAGCGGGGTCAACATGCGCTGTGAGCGGGGTCAACATACACTCTTAGCGGGCTCAACATACACTCTTAGCGGGCTCAACATGCGCTTTGAGCGGGCTCAACATGCCGTGGCTGGCTCAACGCCCTTGTCTCCGGGGATTCTGTCCCTGTATTACCATGCTTGTCACATGCTATGAGATTGTGTCTAGTAATAACATACGTTCTGCTCAATAGCGCACTGACTTATTATATAAAATTTAATGGTACAACTTACATAGAAAACATATCTCAACCGAAGCACTGCAGTTCCAGGGCAGCCAGAACACATTGGTTTCCTTACTTGTACATGTAGCTTTGGTCTTGTACACAGATACGCAAGCACGTATGTACGTACACACTGGCACAAGTCATATGGATCTGTGCAAGATCACACACACACACACACACACACACACACACACACACACACACACACACACACACACACACACACACACACACACACACACACACACCCGGGGGAAGTAGCGGAGAAGCACACTGGTGCAAGCTGCACGACCCTTATCTCAAAGCTGCTGTGTGCGGTTGGTGAAGAAGGATCCATTACTTTCCTGTGTGTGGCATTCCGCAAATATTGTAAGCACGTAGCCTGTGTCCTTTGGCATGAAATGACCGTGATTCTATTTACAGTGCTCCTGGAACAGTCAATGCCCTTGCAGGAGGTCCTCAAGGTGCGGACGGTGAAAAACTGCAAGCTTGAGAAATCAGCCGAGAGCAGGCCAGCTATCGGAGGACGGTGTCGACCCGAGCGCATATACTGTGCTGGCGTGTCGGTGGAACGCCATGCCATTTCAGCACGTCTTGAAGACTGATCCGGATTCTTTGCAAGCCTCTCAGCGCTTCTGCTTACTTCGACGTAACTGGCACTTGCGGGTAGAAAAGTTTTAACTTGAGCATGCCTGCGGTGCTATTGGTGTAACGTATTGGTGGCACGCCATGCTATTTCCGCATGCGTCGAAGACAAACTTCTGACTGTATGGTCAGCCAGGGGCGTCGAAAGGGAATTCAGGGTGGTATGGTCAGCCACCTGGGGTACAGTTTATTGGTGGGAGGGGTGGCTCTGCTGCAAATTTTCAAAATCTAGAGTCCAAATCCGTGTTTTTTATTTATTCTTGGGGTGCCTGGGTGCAAAAGTGGTACGGTCAATACCGTAGTGACCGCAGCGTGTCCGACGCCCCTGCCAGCGTTCCTGTACGGTTACAGCGTGGTTTGGTCGCTACGGTTACCGCATGGCTTGGTCGCTACAGTTACAGCATGTCTTGGTCGATACGGTTACAGCATGGCTTGGTCGCTACGGCTACAGCATGGCTTGGTTGCTACGGTTACAGCATGGATTGGTTTCTACGGCTACAGCATGGCTTGGTCGCTGGTATGTAGAGGTATAGCAAGTGCCCGGCCGCCTTCTCGGACATACTCCACATCTGCAGTGCAATGGTGTTGAAATAGCACGTAAACACAGAGGCGCACACACAGACGTGAGCACATACATGTATGCACGCACCCACACGCACACACACACACACACATACAGAAACACACAAAACACACATGTCCCGTGACACACACACACACACACACACACACACACACGGAAGAAAAAACCATAAGTATTTGCCCCTGCCTGCAGCATACATACAAGGAAGGTCACTGGGGCAAGATTCGTTCTGCATGACGTTTGTAGGCGCTTGCTGCATGCACAGTTGCTGCATAGAAGGTAGTTTACTGCACCGTTTTCGACCGGCGATGTTACGGTTCTCCTTTTAGTTGTCCACTGAACCATTGACTAAGTTACTACAGAATACTACAGCGCTGCTCACTGGCTGCGTTCGATTATGCACTTGGATCGATTCATGAATCCATTACATGCATTCAAGTCGTTCGATTTTCATGTCATAAGCCCTGGAATCGATTCGGAATCCATTCACCCTATTCACATGGGGTGATGTGAATAGCGCGAATCGATTCATGAATCGATGGGTGAATCGATTCACGCGCATAATCGAACGCACTCACTGAAATCCAGTCGGGGCACTCAAGTTTTCACCTTGCACCATTCCGCAGCCCAGTGCTGCGCAGGTCTAGGGCTGCGTAACGCCCGGCGGGTACTCGAGTGACGCGACCGGATTTCATTGAACAGCGCTGTAGATGTCATGCCCCTTGTCGTAGAGCAAGGCAAGGTATGACAAAAAGGTGAAGAACACCTGGTACTCTTACACATACTCACACTGAAGTGTATGACCGAACGTTGGAGAACTTTTTCCCCGAATTGAATTTTTGAAAAGCAGTGATTGAGTGCGAGCCAGTGTTGCTCACAATCCACTTATTATTTTAAGAAGCTGTGTGACGGGTCTTACAGGATTCCACACACCAAAGCTGTTGGCAGTACGAGTGAATGGCTGTGCCGCAGTGAGTGAAATCCGATCTTGCTGATTACGCAGTGCACTGTTGCTGACAGTGCAAAGAGTAACCAGATCCACGGAGCTATTTCACTACTCGTAGTCATATTTCACTTCAATCATGACGGAGCTATTTAGTCATATGTCACTTCAATCATGATGGAGCTATTTAGTCATATTTCACTTATCATGACCATAATTAGCACTCTAGAATTACTCACCTCGACTGGAGGATAGTCGTCTTTGAACTTGTGTCTTGCATCGCGTACACTTCTTCACAAGCACGCAGCATTCTGTCAACACAAGCAGAAACACAGACAAATTGAACCGCTTCTAGAGAATTTAAGGATGCTGGCAGGAGATTCCCCCAGTCGGAAGACTCTAGAATCAACCCGTGAGCCTATTGCCATGACAATATTCCTACTACTCCCGTGCTTTACGTGTGTTCGTATGCACCCTGAATAAGTCTACCAGAGGTAGCGCAGCTGCAATGTGTCAGGCAGGTCTAAACAAGTTCCCACACAGATCATGGTGTCTGTGTCAGTAACAATGCAGCAGTGATTACCGTAAACTAAACGCTAACAGACTAGACGCACTCTCAACCCTCACCCCCAACCCCTCCCCTACCCACCCCCATTTAACATGGGCACTCTCACCATGACCACCACCCACATCGACACAATGGAGGCACTCTCTAACCCCTTACCCCGCCCCGCCATTACCACCCCCCCCCCCCACACACACACACACCCGCCAACAGAAAGATGCACCATCACAAGGGATGATATTTCCAGTCAAACGACCCTGGATAAGGAGACCACCTGGCAACAGAGGCCATATTTTGAAGGTACGTTGAGTGGCCGGCTTAGACAGGTTTCACTGTGCTAGAAATTGTAGTTCATATCCTAGAACTGACCAGTGCAAGCTTGAATGTGACCACACGGTTCAAACATCACGGTGGCTAGGCTCTCACACAGGACACATTCCTCTGGCAGGTCGGCATCGCCAGCAGCATCACCTGCACCATCTCCGCTCTGCGTGCCATCGGTGTTTCCCGATGTTGCGCGTGCTGTGCCCGTGGAGTGTGGCCGCTCGTCCGGCACGTTCACCTCCATGCTCACTGTACGCAGCACTGCAGGCGTCACCAGTATTGGGATGCTGTACGGCGAGGCAGCGGTGTGATTGGACGCAGCGGATTCCTGCGCCGCAAAGACGCTGTGCTCATACTCAGCTGCTCGGGTTTCTGCCGCTGCTGCGGCTGCTCTGTATAGGGTAACGTACGCAGACACGTGCACACACAAGAACACCCCCTCCCCACACACACACAATCACACACACACATACACACACGCACACACATATGGATCCACATACACAAACACGCACACAAACATACACACGCACACGCACACGCCCATACACCCAAACACACACACACATACGCACGTACGTACGTACGTACACACACACACACACACACACACACACACACACATGTACACACGCCCATACACCCAAACACACACATAGACACACGTACACACACACATACGCATACACACACACACACATACACAAACACACAAAACACCCCCAAACACACACGTACGCATGTACACAAACACACAAAACACACACAGGCGTTGTTATCCACAAGGTTGACAGTACGTGAACGCTGACACGAGTACACCTCGTGACTAGAACTCAGAGAGACGCAGTGTACGAATCACGCGGAAGATGCATGAAAATAGTGCACCGTATTACCGTATTACCGTATTGTATTTGCAGATTGGGAGAATACTGTAAAACCCGAAAGTCTAACGTGTCACAAAGTCAAACGTTTTAACGACCAATTGTATTTCGTTATTTGAAGAAACGTTATCGCGAACCCGGTTTCGAGATGTCTGTGTAAAGATGCGCATACATCGATGCATGTTCTGAAAGGTGGCCAGGTAGCCAGGTAGTCAGGGAGCAAGGTGGCCAACTAGCCAGGTAGCCAGGTGGCCAGGTGGCCAGGTGGCCAGGTAACCAGCGTTAAACTTTCTGCATGTTATCATCCTAAAATTACAAAAACCTTTAAAAACCTTTTGGTCGTTAAACTCTCCGGCTTTACAGTAGCTGGATGCATCTAACACAAGTCATTCAGCGCTTTCAAAACGGCTAAAAGCACTCTAGTTGGAACAGCAGGCTTTACAAATCTATGCAGAACAAGGTATTGGACTCGGATGGAGATGTAGTTCCTCCGTCCTTCTTCTATTCTATGAACGAGGTTTAAATTCTGAGACAGGAAAGCTTCATGATACCCAAAGAAGCAAAAAGGAAAAACCAAAATTCTAGACGCACCTTTCCTTGGGCGAATATGCCCGGATTATCTCAGCCATGGCTGGGTCGCTGCACAACTCCAGCGGTGTCTTGAAGTCGTGATTGTAGTAGTCTAAATCCGCACCGCGCTCAGCAAGAAAACAGGCAATGGCCGTCATCGTGTTCTTGGTGGGCGTCTCGAACGACAGGAGCATTTCAACCTGTGCAATACAAGGACAAAGCAAGAGTGACGAGATGCAAGGAGAACTGTAAATGGACAAGGTAGCCAAGCCGGTGGACACAGTTCGTATATTTCAGGAAACTCTTGACTTTCCTGCCACCTCACCAAACACGCACACCAGTACTGATACTCTGCCATTATCATATAAGACCATTGCGCAATGACGTCATTTGTACCGCCAACAACCCATACAGCCACCTGGGCGTGGTATTCTGGGGTGTTGAACAGTGCATTGCTGATCCCAGCGTACTCACATAACGCTCCACACAGCCACCTGGGTATGGTCGTCTGGGTGTGTTGAACAGTGCATTGCTGATCCCAGCGTACTCACATAACACCCCACACAGCCACCTGGGCATGGTCGTCTGGGGTGTTGAACAGTGCATTGCTGATCCCAGCGTACTCACATAACACTCCACACAGCCACCTGGGCATGGTTGTCTGGGGTGTTGAACAGTGCATTGCTGATCCCAGCGTACTCACATGCATTATTCGTACCTTCCATATTTGGCATTGCACAATGGGCTGATTGATAAAAGAGAAGGAAGTAGGTCAACTGACAACCGCTGTATGCAGTTGCTGTTCACTTTCCTCACTGCGTTGTTACCTAAAAAGAGTTGATTGATACTGTACAATTGACGTTTTGGGCCGGACACCCATCATCGGAACCACTGACTGGCCAGAAACGTACATTCTGCAGCGCCAATACACTAATTTTCAGGTAACAGCGCAGTGAGTGGAGTGAATAGCAACTGAACAGAGCAGTTGGTAGTAGACAATCTCCCTGCTCTTTCATGATACAGTAAAACCTGTAACTAAAGACCACCGTGACTAGCGACCAGCCTGGTACAGTACACCCTGTAACTAAAGACCACCGTGACTAGCGACCAGCCTGGTACTACAGACCACGGTGACTAGCGACCAGCCTGGTACTACAGACCACTTTGCCAGGCACGGACGGTCTCACATTCATATGTGGTTGTGCGGTGCAAACCTCTCACTAAAGACCACCTGCCACTAAAGACAGCTTTCTCTGGCCTCAAGGGGTGGTCGTTAGTCACAGGTTTTACTGTATATCCATCAACTTCTTAGTTATGACATTGATGCTTGCACTAATAGCCATTGACAGAAACATACAGACACATGTTAATCTCCACTCTGTTCTAGAATACTGCACGTCCTCAATAAGGGCATGTTCGTTTGGTAGGATCGGGATCCCGATCCACCAGATCCACTGGATTCGCACCCTTTCGATTGGTCGAATCCGGATCCGGATCCTTCGGATTTGGATCCGGTCAACCCAGCTCGGGGAGCAGGGTTGACCGGATCCAACGGATCCAAATGTGACCTTTGTGCGTATATGGCGGGTAAAACTCGTTTTTGTACACATTGTGGTACGCACACGTGGATCGAGATAGAGCTTGCTGACTTTTTGTACAACTGGCGCTGTGAGTATGACTTTTTTTATTATTTCGTCAACATGGCAACAGTCAAGGCTCAAAAAAGTGTCCAGTTAACTCTGAAGGATCCGACGGATCTGAGATCTGGATCCCGATCCCGATCCTTACCAATCGAACATGCCCTAAGAAGCCCCTCTCGAATTAAAACCCCTATTGAATAATAGCAACCCCCCCCCCCCCCCACCCCCGGGCAGGATCCATTTAAAATAATACAAGCCCCTTTTGAACAGAAGCGCGGACTACTTTTGGTGAAGCCTCCTCAAAACTGCCATGGGAAAAAATAGAAGCCACCGGTTTGACCAAGTGAGTACACAGTGTCTGCTCCAGATCAGGGTCAGCCGGGTCAGCCACCCGGTTGGAGGGTTCTTGGACCCGTTTGGAAAAAGAACACCGGGTCACCTGTGACCCTGTTGGGAATACACACCAGGGAGTCATATTATGTACACCAGGGAGTCATATTATGCACACCAGGGAGTCATATTATGCACACCAGGGAGTACTATTATGTACAGCAGGGAGTACTATTATGTACAGCTACCTGATGCGCACATATATGCAGTAGCCATACTTGAACCGACCAGGCTCTGACCCGGTTGGAAGAGTTGTGCCAGGTACACGTGTACCCGGTTGGTTTGAAATCCTAGAGCAGACACTGGTACAGTATTTATGTTTCCTGTCACGTACCATATCAATGGATGGGGAAATGCCCGTCGCCTGGTCGCAAGCTAGCGACCGTCGGTCTCGCCCGACGACCGCCACGTCACAGTCTATGCCGTCGTCGCTGACCCGGTAGCAGAGGGTGTGCAGGGCCGTGTTGCCGCACGCATCCTCGGCGTTCAAGTCGGCGTTGCTGCGCACCAGCAGCTCCACGCACGCCTTGTCTCCGTGCAGTGCGGCGAGCATCAACGGCGTATCGAGTTTCGGCCCGCGGACGTTCACATCAATTTCCTCCTACGGGGTAAGGAAACGAAAATCGACCGGTAAGTCTGTATCAAAGCACTACAACTCAAAGAAGCAACATATCATGTTAGATGCATATCAAGTATAAATCCCTGATGATCGGCCAGGCCCGGAAAATTGGTGGAATATAAATTGAATCGCAGTAGAGAGACAATTATCGGAGTTGAGGAGTGGAACTGGTGGAATTTATGCAGAGCTCACTGACTTGCCAGTTTGAGCACTCTGGCAAGGTACGTTCGGGCCTGGTTTAAATCTGGCTTTGGAAAATGTATTATTCACTGCTATCAGGTTCGGGCTCATTTCATCTGTGCTGCGCTGATGAGTCCACACAGGACGAAACAGTTCTGTCCGCAGATTGAGGAGCGGGATTTCATGAAAGTGAAAGCGGCTGTGTGGGCGTAAGACAGCAAGAAGATTGTGAAGTCAATGGCCAATGAGAAACAAAGTTCAAAGCCAATGCCTCGTACTAGGGACAGCAGCAGACTTTCCACACAATGCGCAATATGCGCTGGATATGCTACTTTCACCAGCACAGTTTTGTCGGCACCTTCAGTGCAAGTGAGGATATCAGAAGTCAAGATCTAACGACAAATAACTACTTTCGGATCCGCTCTGCCCATAGTGTATGGTGGGTAGGCTGCTTTCCCAGTCATATGCTTGTCAGCATCCTCATTTGCTGGATAAAACCTGTCTTCACAACTCTAGGTGTTCTCAAAATTCAACCCTAGACATGAACATTTTGTGCCAAAGCTTTTCTACACGAGACTGCTGGAGTGGCTGTTGGGCGATGATGTGGCAAAGGAATTGCCCAATCCTCATGCAAGAAGGCACATTTTCCTGTTTATCGTTCAACTTTACATAAAGACAAAACCAAAACAACAGCAACAAATTCAGCCGTCGCCTTGCGCCATCCAATCGACATACCCGATTCAACAGCAGACTGGCTGTGCAGTAGTTGCCATGGAGAACGGCATGGTGCAATGGCCGAAATCCATCGTCACCGGCAACGTTGGCAAGCTGTGGAGACCGATCCAGCAGTAGTTCCAGGATTCTGCCGACACATTCACACACACGCACGCACGTGCACACGTGCACACACGCACGCACACACACACACGCACACACACACGACAGCAGATAAAAGTAAAAGGTTGCACATCCACGTTACCACCCACCAGCTATACAGTGAAAAATTCAGCAAATGAAGTATTATAAACGTTCGTCAGAAAGGTATTCTTGTTTTCGTTGGCGGTATCCCAGCGGGATACGGACAAACGTATATCAGCTGCACAGACACGTCTGGACAAGTACAGACATGTTCAGACAAGCACAGACATGTGCACACTCTACCCAGGAAGAGGCAATTGCAGTAACAGTCTCAAGATTTTTGCATACGATGAAAAAGCGGAAAACACGAAGATAGCATTTTAGACTGGAGTTTCACATCTGTCCTGGAAATGTCCCGGATTCCTCCACTACTGGCCCCTTTTTCCACTTCCGCCCCAGCTTCAGTGGTCTTATACTTGTAACTGTATGCCGCTAGTGTGTTGCTGCCGACTTACTCAGTAGAGCCTGCAGCTGCTGCACACTCCGTAGCATTCATGCCACTCTGTGTGCAGACAGTCATGTCCGCTCCGGCAGCCAGGAGGCAGTCAGCGACATGCATTCTGTCGTTTTGGCAAGCACAGTGGAGTGGTGTGCTGCCACTGCAATCCTGAGCGAGAGAGAGAGAGAGAGAGAGAGTAAGTTACATTTATAAAGACAGGTAAGTCTAACAAATGAGGACTGAGACCTCTACAACAGGGTTTTTACGCCTGAAAGCAGGTGCATGATTTAACAAGCAGGTTGTCAGTCTAGATTTTATGCGCAGATGGAGAAAAAGCGCAGAATTTTTGTAATGAGATGAAAAGCAGAAATAATAAGAAATAATAAGAAAAGATGAAATGAAAGCCTGCTCACAACCCCGCCCAGCCTTGCGAACTGGGTATGGTGGATTAAGAACCCGGTTCAACGCTCGAGCAAGCGCTCTCCACTCAAGGTGTTCACAGCAACTGATAGGAACTCATATGGGGAAATAATAGAAAAGAAATAATAAGATAAAGAGAATAAATTTCAACGCACCTCAATAAACGGAGCCCCACATACAGTACCTCAGAAAAGTGGATCTTCCGACCAGTGTTTTTGTTGACGCCGCAACCAGATGATGTAGCTGCTTCGCAGAGACGTCTTACTGCACAAATTACAAATAAATTTTATTCTTCGATTAGAAAATCCAAGCGCTTTCAGAGCCCTCCGAAGAGAGTCCGGGATGAAACCACGCACACCTACCTCAACCGAAAAAGAAACGACCTGCCACCCGTTTGCTCGGCATTGATCGGCCAGATCCGCATACCGCCTGTCCTTCCGCGAGCTACTGACACTGAATCTGTCCTCAGCACAAACTGTCAACTCCATCCAGAATACAATCCTACGACTCGTAGAGTACAGAACTATATCTGGTCTTAGGGTGGTAAGTGCAACACAGCTAGGGAAAGAAATCTTTGCACTAACTGAGTCGACAAGAAGTTTCCAGTCTGAGGCCGCTGACAGGAGATCAGTCGTAACCAACTTTCGTCTGGGCTGAACGCGAACTGGCTTCTCTCCCGCCTTGCAAAACGAGATGAAGTCAAGCTCATTTGAATTTTCGGTTTGTACGGTGTTTGCAGCAGTGCGGATTCGAATCTCCTCACGCATGTTCCTGACGATGACCCCGAGTACGTTGTCGTGCCTCCAGGTGTAACGTCCCTGGTCCAGCGCTACGCGACAAGCGCCAAGCACGTGGCGCGTAGTACAGGCCCAGGTACGGCACAAACTACAGTACGGATCCACTACGGTGTTTCCCCAACGGCGTAGGTTCGTCGGAGAAGGTAGCACGTCGAGGGTTGATGCGAGAAGAAATTTCAAATCCTTACCAGTACCACCGTACAAAAGGGATTTCCACGAGAGGTCCTGCCACATCACCGATGTCCACTCCAACCACTTGCCTTGCACCTGAAGAGTCTTCAGCCTCAAAATCTGCTCCTGCGCGTTGATCTCCTCAAATGTTTGAAGGAGATCCTTCCTCGGGGGTTTGGAATGCTGCTTCGGAGCACGAGCACCCAACCCTGCACGATGACTTGAAGATGACGGTGGACGGAGAGTCCCTGAACCTACTGATGCCTCTGCACACTCCAGCTCTATTGTCGCCGCATATCGCTTTGTCAGCTTCGCATCCTTACTCCGACGCAGAGTGTACAGCGCCCTCATGCGCGCGTCCCCACTCGATCGAAGAATGTGCCATTTGATGGACTGGCACTTTTTCCACACCGTAGGAAGGTAGTGGAGGCGTAAGCCAAAGCGTTTGCGACTGCCAATAAAAAGAATGGCAGAGTTTGCGCATCGAGGTAGGCCTGACCATTTCTTCAGAAATGGTAAACACATAAAGTGCAGTTCACGTACAAAACCTTGTGTGAGTTCAAGAACCTGGAAAGACCAAGAAAGCTTGGGCACTACAAGATGGTGGTAAAGCCATAGCTTGTGGTGGTCTTGAAGCCAAGAGCCATCTACTTTTTGCATGAGAGATACAGTGAGTTGACGGATGTCTTCCCGCTGGGTCTGCTCAGAGCAATCAGCATGCAGCCTTCGCCCCAGGAACTTGAACTCTGCAGTGTCAATGAAAGCGATCTTCCTCCCTGACATTGTCAGGCAGGGATCGTAAGGTTTGTACCGGCCATCTACAAGCTTTGCTGCACTGCTTTTGCATTTGTGCGGCGCCGCCTGCATACATTGGGTCCACGAGAGAAAGTCCTCCGTGACCGCAATGAGTTTTTGACAACCTGCACTAGATTTGCTATAGAGGCCTAAGTCATCAGCAAAAGCTGTTTGGGACACTTGCAAAGGGGCAGATTTAAAATCATAGGAGAGGCAACTTAATTCAGGGGCTGCAAGTGAGTCCAGCAGAAGCTGGAAACAAATATTGAAAAGGACCGGGGACAAGGGGCACCCCTGGAAAACACCAATGTTGTAATTAAAGGTGGGTGTGTGTGGTTGTACGACGAAAGCGCAAAGACTGTCGTAGTAGGAAAAAATTAATTTCCTGAATTGCAAAGGAAGGCTGTAGTGGGTTAGAGCATACTGTATCAGATTGTGGCGCACTGAACCAAATGCATTCTTCAAATCTATCCACGCAATGCAAATTTGGCGTTTTGCCGTCTTTGCATCACGCATCGCCTCATAACAAAGTGATGTATGCTCTAAGCACCCAGCCTTTGCAGGCATAAATCCTTTCTGGTTGTCACCATCGAAGAACTTATTGCCTAGCATATGTTTCAAGAGGCGCTTTGCAACTAAGGTGAAAAAGATCTTCCCGGACGTGTTCGCTAGAGCAATCGGTCGGAATTTCGAAGGATCATCAGACACCTCCCCCTTGGCCAGGAGTGTGATACACGCTACCTGCCACTGCCTTGGAATGATCTTGCTCTCCCAAACCCGCCCAAAGATGGTGAAAAGAATGGATTGAAGGGAGGGACAAAGCTTCCAAACTATGTAAGGTATCTTGTCAGGACCCGGTGCAGAGGTGTTGCGACACTTCTTCAAAACATTCTGAAATTCAGTCCATGTAGGGGTCCCCTCATCGACTGGGTGGGTGCAATCCCGGGGCTTCCCTGCACTGGGGCAGGATTCGTACGAAGTGGCACGATCCTGGTCTGCATATGTGTGTTGGAAGTACTCAAAGCAGGTAGTGTCAGAGAAAGTGGGTTTGACATGGTTGGTTGGTTGAAACAATTTCCTTCCGAAGGCATATGGGTCCTTGAGAAAGGCATCCTGGTCCCTCTTGTTCCGGGATCGATCGTCGTACATCTTTTGTTGTTTCAAAAGACGCTTGATTTGTTTTCCAATTGAAAAATACTCATTTCTGAGCGCTGCAGGTACTTCGTCCGGGTTTTTGATCTTACGAAATTGGCGCTTTAAATCACGCCTGTGAGCCCGGAGTTTTTCCACTGCACGGTTTTTATTTGCATTCTTGTGTTTTGGTGGAGGTGGTGGTGGTTTCTGGTCGAAAAACCAGTGAATGAAGTTCTCTAGTTTGTCCAGAGTCTCTTCGATGTTAGTGTTTTTGAGGTATGAGGTTGGGAAATGTTGAGTGAGATGGATCTTCAACTGAGCGTTTATTGTGTGCCATGCCTTGGTGTTTTTGGCTGACGGTAGCAGTAGGGACTGCCGGACTTCTACCTTGTCCATGTCCCGTTGATTCAGGACATGAAGTAAAGACTCATTATGACAGGGAGTGGATTCGTGCGGGATTGTTCGCAATTCATCTCCAGGAGTCATTGTCTGACCTACAGATGGGCTGAAGTGCATTGAATCAATCATGGAAGTCGTCCGACCATCCCCGCTACTGCCGTCTGCTTTGGCTGAGGTGGTTGAAAGTGATTTGTAGACCGGGCAGGTCTGTAGATGTCGTGGCAAGTTTTGTTTCCATTTGAGTTTTCTCAAACAGTGTGGACGAGAGAGAGAGAGAGAGAGAGAGAGAGAGAGAGAGAGAGAGAGAGAGAGAGAGAGAGAGAGAGAGAGAGAGAGAGAAAGAGAGAGACAGAGAGAGAGAGAGAGAGAGAGAGAGAGAGAGAGAGAGACAGAGAGAGAGAGAGAGAGAGAGAGAGAGAGAGAGAGAGAGAGAGAGAGAGAGTGTGTGTGTGCGAGAGAAAGGAAGACAAAGAGAGGGAAAGAGGTAGAGCGCGACAGAAAGGAAGACAAAGAGAGGAAGAAAGAAAGAGGTAGTGCGAAGAAGACAAGAGACAGAGAAACAAAGGTCAATGGGACTGTAGCGCAATTACAGCGAAGCACCACTTGCGTTTGTGAGATCTTGCAGGGGGGTTCCTTGCATTACATTTGCTAATAAAATGGTGGACAGCTAAACTAGTCTCGGTGGTGTGTAAGCTGTGTGCTTCTGCAGCCAGCTACTCATACCTGTGCGTTGGTGTTTGCTCCGGCCGTTATCAATTCTTCACAGGCCTGTAAGCACCCTCGGATTGCCGTCAAGTGCAGTGCCGTGCATTGTTCTTTGTCTGTGATGTCCGGATCTGCACCTAGGCTAGACAGTGCTTGGATGGTATCCACTTCATTTCTGCACACGTAGAAACACACATAGCAGAAAACAGAACAGATCTAGTTGACCGAGTGAAGATAGATCATTTGATGGAGCGATGGACGGGAGTATGGATGAATGGATAGATGGGTGAATGGATGGATGGATGGATGGGTGAATGCCGGGATGGATGGATACATGGATGGATGGATGGTTGGATGGATGGATACATGGATGGGCAGTTCGATGGATGGATGGTTGGGTGGATGGATGGATGGATAGATTGATGGGTGGGTAGATGGATGGATGGATGGATGAATGGGAATCGCTGGAAATCACATCCCTTGGTGCCAGTTGTCCTGGTTCTCTCAGGCAGGGGGTAGTTAATCCGTGTGGTCTACTTAACAAGTTTTACTGTCGTGTGTCTTGTGATTGTAACCCTGAGAGCATTGAAAATGTGTGAAAATGTATGGATGTGATGGTTGGTGACAGTACAGTCCTAGGACACTGTCTGTTTTGAATGCAAGCCTGAGTATCGATAAGGACGGACGGCACGTAAGCCTGGTTTTACAGTTGAAAGACACAGTGTTACCAGGTTTAAATACAGGCCTGATTCTAACAGAAGCCTATCTGTGATGTCGGCGTTTACAGAAATACTCGTAAAAACTGCCACTACACGTGACATTACGTGGTATTGAAAAAAAACATTGGCTGTGTGTTACCTCAGCGCAGCGATATGCAATGCAGTGCTGCCATCCGCCAGTTGAGCCTCGATGTCAGCGCCAAACTCATGCAGCAGGCGCACACCCTCGTCCTTGCCAAAGCAGGCGGCCACGTGAACAGCGCGGATAGAGTACGGGCTAAAGCAGCCATTCACCTGGACAGAACATGCCAGCACACACATCGTACTCTACCAGTCATAAGGGCACTGACACTTGACAGGAATTACGTGCGAGCTCCAACATTTGGAGCAACCACCTTCTTCCACAATTACACTCAAACGTCTCTTATCCGGGCGCATCAGTCGTTAAAGCCAGGTGGTCTTTAGAACCAGGTCCCACATATTCGTGGCATATCAGATCATGTACATACATGTGCATGATTGTACTTCCATGTACTCATATTGACAGGTGTGGAGCATAGAATACTTTCGTGCAGGCGCAGCACACCTCACTAAAGTGCATACAGCGCATCCTATACTGTCACTTGTCACTTCTGTTGACTGCATGCACTCGCTTCAGAGCACATTTCAACCCTGTTGCAGTCAACCCTGGCAGCCAAGAAGGCACTTTTGGCTAGTTTTGGTCGCTGTGTGTAGGTCCGATATGGCACTTGGCACACTAAAACTTGGTCGCTGGTCGCACAAGGCAGTTAGTCAAACCAGAGGTCGCTTACACCATGTTTACGGTATGTGTATGTGTGTGTGTCCGTGCGAAACGGTCGTCACATGCAGTCAGGAACAACTGCCGTCATGAATGCGAGCATTGCGAAAGGCGGTTCTCAAGGCCACAGGGACTTGCAACGCCATGCCCAATACTGTTGACTTTGCAATTTCTCTCTCTTCTCTTCTCTCTTCTTGCCATTGTCTCCCGCTTCTGGGAGTGGCGTGGCCCGATAGGGTAGCTGTACATAGTAGTACTAGTAGTAGTGTGTGTGTGTGTGTGTGTGTGTGTGTGTGTGTGTATGTGTTTGTATGTGTGTGTGTGTGTGTGTGTGTGTGTATGTGTTTGTATGTGTGTGTGTATGTAGCTTACATGCTCGCGCTGGCATTGCAATACCACTCGTAGGGTGTCGGTGTCATCGCTGGCAACACTCTTAGCTAGCAGCATGACCGGGTTAGAGAGGTCAATAGCACAGCTAAACACGCCTGTCGCTGGTGATGACGTCGTCCCACTGGCAAATATCCTTGTGATGACATCACACAGGTCTCCGTCGCCCGAAAGCAAACGAAGAGACGGCGAGACATCTGTTGTTGTATGCACATTACCATATTGATCTGCGCAGCGAGCGTTGGCTTCACTTTCTGCAGAGAAGGAAAAACAATTACACCACCATCCACACCTTGAATACCATCACTCTGGTGACAACCAACAAAAGTCTGATTTGTGCTAGATTGTGCACGTCTGACTGTTCAAAATCTGGTTTTGCTGGTGGACTCGATCGCATAACATGCGCCCACAATTTCCATGTTACAATACTTTCCTTGGCTCACCATCTGAGTTCTTAGGCACTTGCCTTCAACGTTTCACTCAAATTACCAGGAACAGCTAGAGAGATTTGATACCTTTCGGCCATTCGCCATCCAAATGACACGCGGGAATGATAGTCAAAGAGATCAGACACCCAATGCACTAGCATATGATTCAGCCCAGAGGTGCAGCACTGTTGTACATGCAGCTTTCTAACAGAGGGTGGTTTGCCAGACACAGCACATAACTAGAACCTATGACAATCTATTTCACCCAGCTGTCACCGGGCCTGGTTGACAGTACACTGGTTTTCACAAAGCCCGACACGTCCTGCAATCAAATATAACCCGTACTAAGCAATATCCAGTAGTAGAATGATCCCCTCTCTTAACTTACCGGGCTGACCTCCTTCCACTGTCGCTGCAGGTACTGTCGCTTCTTCTGGTGGTGCTGTTACGGCTGCTTCTGCTTCTGCTGCGTCACCTGCCTCGTCAAGGTGTTCAGCGGACTCATCTTGCAGATCTCCACCGCTAATATCCACATCACACTCGCAACATCGATTTGCGGCTATGGACGTCGTAGCATCGATGACCAACTCCACTGGCAAGGGTGTGTTACCACTGTCATCAGTAGGACCGCTCACGGGCGATTTCATCAAATCATCGGCCGAACCTTGACGGCAGAGCGAGCCAGGATGACTCGAGACGTCACCTGGCTTGTCCGTGGCGCTGCAAGCAAGCGTACTAGCCTTGTCTCCAGCGGTATCGTTCTCGACTGGCACGCTGACAGGTACGGGCACAGACTCCGCTGTACCGGAGGCTGAACCGCTGGAATCACCGGCCATCATCTCTGCTGAATGTTGCTCTGCACCTTGGTTCGCAACTACGAACACACCGGCGGCATAACACAAAGTAAAATATACGTTGATCAGCCTAGGGTTCTGTGAATCGCACAGCCGCATAGCGTCCTAAGCATTATAACTGCATCCTGTGGTAAACTGTTCATCTCCAAACGCTGGCCACTTTCTAAACGTGCGAAAAGCGCTACGCCTGTAGTTTCAATGTGTGTTAGAGGTCACACAAGTTGCCAATAGAACTAGACTGAATAGAGCTGTAACTCGGAGTTTCATGGCTATGCACAAGCAACGTAGCTTGTGTTAGAGGGTATACGTAGAGGTGAGAACAGACACCCTCCTGATGAAACAAGCATGGCTAGAATGTCTCTTATACCGTTGCATGTCATGATTGGAAGCTGTGGCCGAAGTAAAACAAAAAATAATAATAAATAAAAAATTCGGACAAGAGGGAAGAGCAACTGACAGTGATACAGAGCAACCAACGAACAAGAAGACAAACACATACGCATACGCATACGCATAAGCATACGCAGAGACCTCTACAAAACAAGCATGTGACATTCACGACACATTTTTGCTCACGCACCAACACGTGAACACGCGCACGCACACACAGCTGCTTGCCTGACAATCATGTAAGACCGTGAGCTACGACGGGGGTCAATATCCACAAGCAGTGCAGTCGCGCACAACCTACCTTTGGAGAAGTTACACGCCAGTTTTCCGAAGCGAGTTGGTCTAGAGGACCGTGGCAAGGCTTGTTCTGAACCCTTTGTCACTTCGTCAACCACAACACGAGACGGATCTGGAAATTGGCAAGATAAAAGCACATCCATTGGTTTGAGGGAAAGATGCAAACGGAGAAGGTCTGAAAAACAATTGACTGTCACCACCAGGATTCGAACCGGGGGCATTTGCTTGAGGCTAGCGATGTTCTAACCACTGAGCCATCAGACCTGCCGTAAGGTGGGCGAAGTCGGTCCGGTTTGAGGGGGGTTGGGGGAGGGGGGGGGGGTGCGGGGGGATACCCGCGGGAAATTGCTTGAAAATTCCGGTGAGAAATAGCAGAATTTGGGTCTTTCACAAGTTTTCAGAGCCCACTACAGGGAATCATGTACATGATGAAGTCAGCAGCAGTTCAGTAATCAGCCCTGCCACCGTTGCATTGCTGCAGTGCAATCAAAACTATCAAGTCGCGATTGCTTAAAAATATTCATCATTATTTTGAGGGAACTTAGTGTCAAGTTCGGCAGGAAGCGTTTGTTCCACGCAGGAATAACCTGCTTCATCATTTGAGGGAATAATAATAATAATACTTGGTCCGCGTCAGCAATATTGTCGCTTATCTTTTGACAATTTGAACTTGACTTTGGACATGAACGCGTGCACTTGAAGTGATGAAACTTGGTACGATGGACGGTAAGGTATAGAATGACAACTAGCTATGAGGAATTTATTGTCCAAGGAAAGGTTCCTACTTTTTTCGGTCCTCCTCGTCGCTGCTCTCGGCGATGTTGACAAATATTTTTGCTCGGGATCGACTCTCTTGCTTTTGCAAGCTCATCTCTCTTCCTCTCCGCTGCCTGGCAATTTTCTAAAGAGAAGTCGATCTTGACGGTCGCCTTCTCTATAGGACTTCGCGTGGGCAGCACAACAGCCTTTGTGGTTCAAATCAGACGCCGTTCTTTGCAAGATTTTATTTTGAACGACGACAACGACGACGCGTACAGTACTTGCAAATCTCCACGACGCGCTGGATACTCCGAGCATTTAACTGGAGATAAGGGAGCTGCGATCTCAGCTTGACGAGCGATCACTGAGGTGAGCAATCTCGGCCGTTCAGCAAAATGGAGCTGATTCCGAGTAGCCGATTCCTTTCTTGTGGCTTGCGCTGCTCTTGCCTGCACAGCGTAACACGATAATTTATTTTGATGCGGCGCTATATCAATCAGAATCACCCACCCATCGCTCTCGAAATCCACTCGAACTGTAGCTAGACCTTTCAGGTACTAGTAAACTAACTTACTAACCAAAATTGGGATGAAATGGGCTGCCAAGTGAGCTTTGGCGACATATAAACAAAGCTGAAAGATAAGCGACAATATCGCTGACGCGGACCAAGTACTGCATCTGTCAACAGACAGAGACAGACGAGATCGCGGTCAAACTGCCGGCAATAGATCACATACCCCTGCTAGCTGGTGGCATACCCATGCCTGATGCAGCAGGTAGCAAGGCCGGGACTCTGGCAGGAGCAGGCAGTGTGACCTGGACGCTGGCAGGAGCAGGCAGTGTGGTCTGGACGCTGGCAGGAGCAGGCAGTGTGGCCTGGACGCTGGCAGGAGCGGGCAGTGTGGCCTGGACGCTGGCAGGAGGAGAAACCACAGGAGCAATCCAGCTCCAGTCGCTCGAGTCGATAGCTGGCAAATCACCGATTTGATTGCTAACATCTATGCCCTTCTCCTTGATGATGAAGCAGTGTTTGAGCAGCAAGAAGCACCACAATGGACGCGGGTACCGCTGGCATCTTTTCCTTGCCACAAGAGGTGACATGATGGAAACCTTCAATGTCCTGCAAGTGCACATACAAAAATACATGTACGCATAAACCAACAAACACACCCTTGACCATGACCATTTTGTGCCCATCACCGGAAGCGATGATAGTGATGCTGCAGCAGAAGCCATAGCACCTTGTGCTGGGATGGCACTATTCAACAGCTTGCAAGGCTGAAGAATTGAACACCCCTATTCAGCCTGGTATACACCACACAGCTATGAAGTGGCTTTTCTGGCCAGTGAATCCCTACTTTTTGGTCTTTCTTCCTTTTCTTTCCCGCACACACATCACACCACATACTCCGGCATGCACTGGCTGTTGGTAACCACCCAGGAAAATAAAAGAAAAGTCAGAAAGAGTTTGAGAAAGAGAAGAAAGACGTGCGTGGCCATAATCATCGGGAATCGAACCCGCAACCTATCGATTAGAAATCGCTGCACATACCACAGCACCATATGGGACACACAAACACACACACACAAACACACACACGCACACACGCACACACGCACACACACACACACAAACATACATACACACACGCACACACACACACACGCACACACACACACACACACACACACACACACACACACACACACACAAACACATGCATGCCAAAGGTGACACAGTGTTGCAGAAATTGGCAAAAGAGTAGGATTTCAACTGGAACTTGCCCGGTACTGGAATAGAACAAGGCGTCCATAACTTCGAGGTCCGGATAACAAAGGTGTGAGTGTGGTAGCATTATTTATATTTTTACTCACCGCTCAGAAGTGCCACACTGTTTCTCCTCACAGAAGTGACTTAGAACACGAACAAGCTGATCTTCGCTCTGCAGAGTGTCGCACATGCGAGCAGCACGCAGGATCACATCCGAATGCCCAGCACCGACATACTGGCAGCACAGCATCCATATCTCCGCCAGACCCACAGCCGGCTCGATAGTGCCGAACGACGATGGTGCCACGGCAAGTGTATCTCTGCTTCCAGCCAGCATACACAAACACTTGTCCGCACGGTCAGCAAGGAACTTCTTCACCTCCTGAAAAATAACACAAGAAAATGGATGAACAGAAGAATTTTAAACATACACAATGAAGATGACCGCCGCCGAAGTCGCGACTTCTAAGTTCATACACAATGAGTGGAACACAATTCTTCGCAGGCTTTCGTGAAGCAACCTAATTTTAAAATGAACAATCTAAAAAATTCAAACAGGTTGATGGGAAGCAATAAACACAACAGACCTGCCGTCTTCTCGGCACAGAATCAAACACAGAATTCCAGGTAGTCAACTTGAGGTGACGACTAGCAACGCACCCAATGGATGGCGGTCATTGAATATATAACCCGGATATTCGCCGGAGGACGCAGCATTCCTAGATCACCACTCAGTGATGTATTCAAACTGAAGATTGTCACAGGAAAAAGTTCGTACAACCAACACAGATTGCTGCTTGATGATGTGTAGATGCATGATTATTTAGAATGACCATGCAACTTATCTTTTTATTAATCTTATTTCCATTGTACAAGTACAAGAACATGTACACACGTACAAACATGCACGTGCCTGCGTGAGTATGTGCGTGAGAGCACTCCTGCTTCTGCTCTGCTCAACACCCCTATCATCCTGATCACGGATGGGCGCCCGAGGTTCAAGGCCCAAGGCTAGCACACACGTTAAAACACACCGGCACGCACGTGTCCGGGCCAAAAAATGCTCTACGTTCTCGTCGTCCTTGGAAGGTTTTTTAAATTGGAATACTTTTCTACACTTTTCTACAGACGTGACTAACCGTAGGAAGTGACTGATCATTGGCAATCTCCGCTTTCTTCTTCCAGAGTGCCACTTGCTTCCTCGCTACAGCATTCTGCTGTCCTTCGAGCTGCACGTGTACAGGTACCAATTCCCATTCACATGCGTATACCATACACATCCAAACACACACCATAAATACTCTCAAGGAAAAGGCATAAGTAAAGATGCAATTCAAAGATAGAGTCCCTAATGATAGCTTGCATAGACCTCTTTCCTACCGATGGGACCATCATACACAGACATGCTGCACAGCCTCTGTTCTAACATTGGCTTAAAAACATTGACCCTAAACTGTTGCTAAGGGGCTAATGAAGTGAAGGAGTCCACAAATTTTGGACGTGATTATACAAGTGTTAGGTACCTCCTCCCGTACCTTTTCTGGCTGGCCTGCATGCACTTGCGTACGCACCTTTTGTCTCCTTTTGCTCCGTTGGCCTGGGTAGCTACTTGCGCGCCCATATTTGCCATAGCTACCCAGGCCCTTTATCTTGCCGTTTAGACTTGATCTCTCTCTCTCTCTTTTCTCACTCGTCAATAATCACCATGTAGTCGTTTCGTTCGTCTTGGTCTCTTGTCTCGTCGTCTATAATAAATGTCGTTCCCACTAACTTGTTCCCGTTGTCAGTCGTCTTGTTTCGAACTCAACATTGGCGCCCGATTATTGATCGACCCACGACCCTGAGATCATCCCATGCCCAGCCGTCCTCAACCACCATTCGTCTCGTCTATGTCAACCTCGTCTCGTCCATGTCAGTCTCGTCTCTCCTACGCCAACCTCGTCTCGTCTCTATCAACCTCGTCTCTCCTACGCCAACCTTACCTCGTCTATTCTCGTTCAAGCCATGCAGGTCAGCCACCTTTCTCTCTTTCTTTTTTTTTGTATGCTTCTTCGTCAAATTTATTTTCGTGAATTTTTTTGTAGTGTGTGCGCGCGCGTGTGTTCGTAAAACATAACCAAGTTAGGGGTCCGATCATGGTGAGCCACGCTCTAATTTTTGGATGTTTAGCAAAAGTGTAACTAGGCTGTATTAGCCGTGCAGAATACTAGTAATTCACGTTCCTCGTCAAACTCCAATAGTTATTACACACAATAAGTAGTACAGGAATGATGTGTACCAGTGCATTTTTCGTACACACTTTCGTGAGATCCATGCGCGCGTGCAGTATGTGTGTGTGTGTGTGTGTGTGTGTGTGTGTGTGTGTGTGTGTGTTTTCTCCTCCAGTTCATTTTTTTAAATCTTTGACTCTCTTTTTTTTCTCTCCGCGAGGACGCAGGATTTTTTTCATGGAGGGGTTGTATGTTAGGTACCTCCTCCCGTACCTTTTCTGGCTGGCCTGCATGCACTTGCGTACGCACCTTTTGTCTCCTTTTGCTCCGTTGGCCTGGGTAGCTACTTGCGCGCCCATATTTGCCATAGCTACCCAGGCCCTTTATCTTGCCGTTTAGACTTGATCTCTCTCTCTCTCTCTTTTCTCACTCGTCAATAATCACCATGTAGTCGTTTCGTTCGTCTTGGTCTCTTGTCTCGTCGTCTATAATAAATGTCGTTCCCACTAACTTGTTCCCGTTGTCAGTCGTCTTGTTTCGAACTCAACACAAGGCATACCATGGCAATAGCACATGGTAACCATGGAAACGGAGTATGGAATTTTGCATTCCACAACCATGGCAGGCTGAGAAAAACATTAGGACCTCATCACGATTTATGGGCCATGGTCAAAATTCACTTTGGACAGAGTTTCTAGCGCTCCGACAGGAGCATGTGTGGCCATTTCGACAATTGATAAAATTGCACATATGCAATGCTCTGGACATAGTCTCGCATTTTGCACCATTACTTTGCCTTATAAAGACAACAATTGTTTTAAGAAAATTCCCAACCAAAAGCACATTTGCAGCGCGATTTCTTGGATCCTACGAGACTAAACATATTTCGTTAATTCAGTTCAAGCTTGAGCTTATGCACGAAACCATTTGACAATTTGTATTCAACTTGAAGCAGATTCGTTTTTGGGTTTTGATCAGGGCAATGTGAGTGAGTGAATTAACTCCATGGTCACTAGAATGTTTAGACTTTGGTCTCATTTCTTACCTGGAAGCTACTACTAGCTTTGAACCAGCAGTTTGAGTTGTTGGGTATGCTGTACTCCGAATTACACTTGGCACAGTACGGATCGTGATGAGCACCGGATTCACTGTAGCGTACGCGCCACGGTGCATATCCGAGGTCCCGGCTTTCGCTGCTGTAGTCCTTCCACTCCTGTGCTTTGCATGCGCACACTGGCGGTAGTGGTAAACTGAACATGACTGGCTTGTCCATTTTCGGGTTCTCCAGCTTACCCAACTCCTCCATGATACCCTTGCGGACATGCTGGCATATAGATGAGATTGGCTGCAGCCAATCAGAGGCGCAGGCAACAGAGTCAGGCGAGCAATCAGAAGAGCCAGCAGCACCTTTAGGTGAGTACCGGAAGTTGATGCTGACCAACAGGGCACCTGACGAGTCGTAGTGAGCCAAGAAGATTTCCACCTTGCCTGGGAACTGCTCACGGAGCTGCTCACGGAGCTGCTTCGGCAGCCGAAACCTGGCTGTGTTGTAGGTGAACTCACAGCGACTCCGGTCGGTATTTGTGATGTCCCACTTTCCCATGAGCCTTACAAGTAGCTTGAAGTAGGAGCTGTGTGGCATCGGTGTGTCCGCGTCGGGATACTTGTAGCCTCTGACGTCTTCATCAGCCTTGCCTGGTGGCTGAACCACGATCAGTAACGGTGTGTCAGCCGTGGAGAAGCAGACGTCGTTTGGGTCATTGTCCGGCTGGAAGCTGCGCATGGCCTCCTCGATTTTCTTCGGCGGTCGGTGTTGAAGAGCAGACGGGATGAAATACTTTGCTTGCTGGCCGTCTCCGAATTTGTACAGGAAATCCCAGTCGACCATCACGTCAAGCATCTTTTCACGTACTTCTCGTTTCACCTCCTCCCAGGCACACTCTATTAGTGGCATGCGTGCTATACCCTCCTTCCACAGATAGTCGCGCCACTCCGTCTCTGCTCTCCCTGCTCTCCCTGCTTTCTTCTCCGTCTTGCCGTCACCTCCGCCAGGTTCATCCAGGTACTTGTGGCCAAAGACGAGGACGTTGATCTGCCTGATGAGCCACTGTGTGTTGTGGAAGATGATGTCACCAGGCTGCGGCAAGTTCATGTTTGCCGGCCGATAGATAATCACACGAAGGTCGTTGTAGAACCGAAGAAGACGCTCGAACTCGGATAGAGCACCGTCCATGCCGGAGTCATCCTGGATCTTGCAGGCCTTCTCCAACAGTGTCTTCATCCATCCTCGTGTTGTGTAGCCAGTGTGGGCGGGTTGTTTCTTGAGATACTCCAGTATCATCTCAAAGCGAACCCATTCCGTCGGCATCTCCTTGTCTGCCAGCACTGATGAAACAGCATCCTGCAGCTTCTCTCGGATACCTAGAACTTCTTGAGAAGCTCCGGACTCGTGGTTGTCCACAAGGAACAACCCTGCGCGATCAATGTCATCGGTCTTGATCACACCCTTCAATGTTGGTGACCGCCAACAGAGGTTTCGCAGCTTCTCGAGGATATCGATCTTGTGCTCCGAAAGTGTCCTATCTGTCGACAGCTTGTCGGCAAAGTTCCCCACCAATATCACAGGCGGGTAGTCGAACGCCTCGCTTCCCACAGCCTTGCCTGGGTTGCTGGCAAAGTGGATGGCTGTTAGCCAGTGCCGAATGTGGTCGATGTTCTTCAGCTCCTCCGGTACGTCCAGAGTCATTTCAGACAGTGTACTCCCTGACCACTTCCAGTAGTTCTGCTGTTTGGTGAGCTGCAGGTTTTCTGAGGCGTTGAAACAGAGAATATAGATGACGTAATCTTCACCCATTAGGAAATGCTGCAGGCTTGAGAAGACTGATTGGCCGCCGCAATCCCAAATGGACACCACCACTTCTTCTTTGCGGATTTCTCGCATCAGCTCTTGGTTCGCCAAGATGACATCAACCAGGCTCTGTGTCAATTCAACAGAGCTGAGTGCTGCTTCTGGATCTGCAGTGAGTTTTGATGTTTCCTTCGGTGACTGCTTGTGTCTTGGTGCAGAGCTCCCCTCCACGTTTTCTCGGTGTCCAGGCACTACGATGGGGTGTTGCTGCTTTTGGCGCCGTGGATGTTCTACTGCTGCCTCTTTCGTCGCTGTTCCCTCACGCTGGAGTCCTGTAGACTTAGCTCGCTTTGGGACTTTCGCCGCTGGCTCGGCCAGTCTTGCAGCTTCTTGCTCCTGTTGCTGCTGTTCTTGTTCTTGTTGGTATTTCTTCTCAAGATCTTCAGCCTGATCAAGGATGTCCGGAGCGCAGAGGAGTGCAGCATTGAACTTCCAATCTGTCAGGTTTCCTCCGTCCTGGAGCATATTGCCATGATCAACAACGAGCAACGGTGTACTTGGCTTCTTGTCCACGAACTGCTTGTTCTTGAGCGAATCCGCCAGGCTCGTCTTGCCGGTTCCAAACTGACCGCAGAGGCCGATGCGGATACGGCGTACTCTGGTCGAACCGCTGCTCAGTGTGCTATTCGTAGCTTCATGCATGGCCTCGTCGGACGGACCCGTACCTCGTTTTGCTGCAAGTGATCAACAACAACAACAACAACAACAAGTACACATACGCACACACATGAACACACACATATGCGTGCAGGCACGTACAAGCATGCTCAGCCACATACACATACACATACACACAAACACAAACGCACACACACACACACACACACACACACACACACACACAAACATGCATGAACGAAAGAACGAACACAAGCATATACACAAACACGTAAGCAAAGCGTGTGACCAAAATCCGTGACGAGTGCTTCGACATTAGGCATCTGTAATTGTATTAAATTTTATGGATTCTCCACAGGCTTTTGCCTCGCATAAGGGGAGGGGCTTCAGGCAAAACATACCATCAACTCATTATTTATTGTGTGCGAAATACCCTAAACATCCCTGGAAAGAAAAAAACAATAAATTGTTCGAAAGTTCAGTCAGGGAAGTGAACTGTCTGAAAAGAGAAAAAAAATGCTAACCCCACCAGGACTCGAACCCGGGACCTTGCTTGTTATGAGCGATGCTCACACCATCTGAGCTATGGAACCAGGTCGAACCTGGAAGGCACGTTTTTCACTGCAAAGGCAGCTCACAACACGTGCCACACATACTGATGGCACTTGGTCTTTTTCCCTCAGGGGACCAAATTCCAACCACGGTCAGTTTCTGGAACGTACTACGAGAGGTGAAAGAAAGTGATCGATTTTGAACGGATTGGGAGAACTTCAAATTCAAAGGATCTTTCAGGGAAATGAACTGCCTGGAAAGAGAAAAGAATGCCAAACCCACCAGTACTCGAACCCAGGACCTTGCTTGTCATGAGAAATGCTCTAAAGCCTAGTTCACATTCGACGCAACGCTGACGGTACGGGACGTATCGGCCTGTCGGGACGGCTGGGTTCAGCTGTAAAATCTTGTACGATTCGTACAACTCGACATGCAGCAGTCGTTGCGATGTTCAACAGCGAACGGAGCGAGTCATAAGGCATGATCCGTGACGGGATGACTTTCGGACCTACTTGAAGTAATTTCTTGTTTTTCGGGACTTCTTGTCAATTATTTCTCCTTGAATGAAGCGAAATCAAGTTCACAATACCAGTTTTTCAGGAAGACTAAAAAAAGTAGCCCTGAAAGTTGTGTCATTCAAATAATAGCACCAGGAAATAATAAAACAGTTCATCTGTCAAGCCGCTGAACTATCCCTAAATACAATAAGTGACAAGGGATCTTTTGAAAAGAATTCGGGTGGACACACCAATTCCCATAGCGCTGCACATCACATCCGAACCAGTTCCGTTATTTCTACAACGTTTCGGCACTTGGCCATGGTCAGGTAATAACAATGAATACCGTGGAAGCCACACAAGAGCAGTATATACGCAGAGTGTAGCGCCAAAAAAGATGCGAATTATGTCACCTAGTATGCAGAAGGGGTGGGGGGGGGGGCAGAGAGAGAGAGAAAAGGCGCAACTAGCACATCACGGAGGAGAAGCAGCAGAAGGTAGCGCGCATTGTGCTCTGTGAATGGCGTTACGCAGAGTGTAGCGCCAAAAAAATAAAATAATGATGCGAGTTATGTCACCTCTATACAGAGGGGGGAGAGAAGGTGCAACTGTGCACATCACGGAGAAGAAGAGCGCGCCGTTGTGCTCTACGAAGTGAGGGTACATGCCAAATAATTATGGTGTTAATTCTAGCACATTAAAGGAGGGGAGCACGGAGGCCCATGCGCCAATCCACTATGAGGTTAAACTTCCATGCCAAACTGTTACCACCAGGGACGCGACGAGGCATCAAGAACAGAATGGATTTGAGTGACCCGCCTCATATTATATTCAGTGATATTGAAGTAGCAGCAGGGGAAGCTAAGAAAATTCACAACAAATCCCATCCGGTGCTTATGTTCACATGGGGCTTAGCATCATGAATCTCAATCGCCTCGCGCAGTTTGCGACAAGCTCGATCAGGCTCTCTTCCTATTACTTCAACTGCAGAGAATGCACTTTGCCCATAGTTGAGCTTGCATCCAGGGTGAGTGGTACGAAAATGTTGGCCTCATGGCTTGTCGAGTTCCTGTCGTCTTGCCTCACCATTATGTTCTTCCAGGCGAGTTTCCAGAAAGCGGCCAGTCTCACCAACATATTGTTCCGGACATTCTTTCCACTTCCGCTGATATACAACATTCTTCTGCATACATACATCCTGTCCCCCGGATATACACGAGATACACGGCCCCTTTGGGCGACCTCTCTTCTTTCGGTTGTAGCGGATTTGCAGCCTTGACACATAGAGGAGGAACGAGGGCGGAGCGACACAATGTGCGCCTCAGGTTACCAGTGTGCTCATATACGACTCTAATCGGAATTTTATACTTTCTGATTCCTTTATTCACTGCTTGAAGTACTTTATCCGACTTATATGGAAGCTTTAGAAATGCGCAGCATGGGTTGGCACGGCGACGGCGCTTTGGCCTTATGGAGGCAGTGCGTGCCTCTTCAATGATTCTCTCTGGGTAATTGTTCAATCTTAATTGTTCATGAACCCTCGCTTCACTTTCTGCACGCATTCTGGTATTCTATGAGAGCCTCTGAGCTCTTAGGAATTGTGACGAAGCAACTGCCAATTTGATATGGTGGGGAACTGCTGAAGTATAATCAATGAGTAGACCGCTAGCACATGCCTTCTGGTACAGCTTGTATGCCAGCTTGCCTTCCTGGATCATAATTGTGATATCCATATAATTTATGGAGCCACTCACCTCGCTGAGCTCATATGTGAAGTTGGTACTTGGGTGTGCAGAGTTGAAATGCTGCACAAACCGCATCAAGCTCTCTCTGCCATGGGTCCATAGCAGCAGGATATCGTCGATGTAGCGTTTGTAGAGGAGCGGTACTAACGGAGAATCCTGCGAAGCCTGGCCTCAACCGTATGCATGAATAGAATCGCAAATGGGGGTGCAAGACTGCTACCCATTGCAACCCCGTCCACTTGGTGATAGATCTGATGGCCGAATCTGAAATAGTTGTGGCTGAGAACAAACAGCAGCAGATTCCGTACCCCGCTCACACTCAGCCCAAACATGTCGGTTCGCTGGGAATACTGCTGCAGCATATCCACCACTGCCTGATCGCCCTCCCGAATAGGTATGCTCGGATATAACCCGACTACATCTATGGACATAACAATGGTGCCATCGGGGGCGTTCAATCCCGGACATGCGTCACAGATGTGGGGTATTGCTTCCGTCGTGTTAGCCAGGTGGGCCAGGACAAATTGAATGAGCTGCTGTAGGATGTGCTCCAATACAATAGATACTCCAGTCGTTGGGCTGTCGCACGCTGCTACCACGGGTCGCAATGGTAAGTTCTGCTTATGGTCCTTTGGAAGACCGTACCACTCGGGGAACTTCGTACTGCTTGGTAGGATTGACTTCAGGAGTTTTGAATCCATGTTCTTGCACTCTGACAGTATTACTTCTCGTGTCTTGGTCTCGTAGGACTCTATGGTCAAATCTACTTTCTCATACATGATCATGTTCGATAATATGTCTTCTGCTTTCTGCAAATACAGCTCCTGTCTCATAGCAACGAGTTTTTTTACTTTTATCCGATGGTTTGATGATGGTTTCTTGGTCTGTGCGAAGTCGCTTCAGCTCCACCCGCTCCTCCAGCGTCAGATTGGGATTAGAGGGTGTGTGTCTGTCATATGCCCGTAACACCTCGTCGCGGAAGTTGGCCATATTCCTTTCGTCTTTGTCGTCCATCTGTGGGGGGCTGCTTAAAGCCACGCTTCATCAGCTTCCACAATTTCTTGTCCTGTCTGATCTCTGGCGGTGGGTCTTCCTCTTTGAGGTCCACACCCTGAGGCTGGGGCTGTTGCCACCGGAGGGTGAACGCCATCCTCTCTACCGATGTCTCAACATCTGTTCGTTCTTGCTTGGTGAGCCTCCCCGTCGACGGGACAAAGCTAGGTCCATGTTCCAGCAGACGCCTTGTCTGGTCGGACACACAGTCGTCCACCACCAACGCCCGCTCATGGACTGGCTCAGCATTGGCCGTATGCCCACTGGGTGACGCAATCCTTTGTGGACTTGTCAGCATACACATACACATACTGTATACTCTTAAAAGCCATTATTCTAACGAGGCGCATATATAACGATTTCCCAAAATCGACTAGTTTACGTGTACCAAAGGTAACGATTCTCACTCATTCTCAACGCTCAATAGGACAGTATATGTATCGATTTCTGTGTAACGATTTCTATTTTAACGACAGATTTCCCCTCGTTAACTCGTTAGAGTTAGCACTTCGTTATTATATAATTATGGCTTTTACAGTAAGCATAATGCATGGTGTACAGATGAACGGAATTCCGTAGAATCTCGTAGAATCCCGTAGCCCCTGTTGGGTGTTGAATGTGAAGAACCCTATTGTGTTTACTGCTATTTCCACTGTAGGGGATCCTGGTGCTGCTGTTTCAGCTGCTACTGTTGATACTGCTGCAGCTGAAATTGCCACTGCTAGTGCTACTGCTGCTCAGTGTGTGAAGGTCCTACTGGTGATGATGCTGAAGGTGCTACTGGTGATGCCGCTGCAGCTGAAGTTGCCACTGCTTGTGCTGATACTGGTGAAGGTGCTACTGCTGCTGCTGGTGCTTGGGGAGAGGAAGATAGTTATTTTTGCTTTAATCCCTGTAAGAGTCCATGAAGAGAAGGGAACGAAAAAGTTTGGTTCTAAAATTTCCTAGTGTTCATTTGGACCGGTGTGGATTGCGTGGATGCATGTAGTGCATTCAAGAACAACCAGCTTCATTTAACACGAAAGAGTGGTAGCGACCTCGGCGATAATCGTATAAGAAAGTTAGTTGCTCCCACACTGAAATAGTCAGTGGTGAGTCAGTCAAGGGTAAAGTCAGGTCGACCGGAATAGCGCGAGTTGCAGTGTGAGAGCAACCAACTTCCTTACAGCTTCATTTAACGTAAACATTATTAAAAGATTGCGCAGGTGT